ATGAGTCTGAGTACTGCCCAGAACTCCTATGTTGGAAATCTATTCCTGACTATTCCCAAATGGGACCAATTCTATACCACAAAACCAAGACATAAACAAGAATGGTACCACTGTTTACATTCCTAGTTTTAGAAATGTGGAAGTTGTGCAGATGTCAGATATGTGACTAAAATAAGTGTAAGCATGGAGAGCTCCAAAACATGTTTTTTTTCTTCTTCTTTTTTTCCCTCAACTCTACAAGGGAAGGCATGGAATCACAAAAGAGCCATTCTATTTACCATGCATTATAATATCAAGCCATACTATTTCAAACAAATATTTTTTAAAGAAGGAAATGAAGATAATAAAACATTAACAAACTATATGCTTTTAAGGTAAAATAATACATTTTGCTTCATTAATAGCTTTTTTTTTGTAACTACACTTTCTCAGCCCATTGTAAATAAAAGCTTTTATGTTACAGAAACTTTAACGCCTCTTCCTTGCTGTATAGTGCACCTTGTTTGTCCTGTTGACTAAACATTCGGTAAAACTGAGAGATAAAAAGACATAGTTAATGAAGCTTTATCTTGATTTAACACGAGTCGAGCTGAGAGCGCTCTCTAAAATGATTTAATATTGAAATAATAGTTACAGCAAAGAAGCTGGTGGCAAAATGATTACAGTCAATCATGTAAGGTGGAAGTAACCATAGAAAGCATCGATAGAAGCTTTGCACAAGCAAATTCTAATGAATTACGATAATTGTTGTCCTGTAATTTGTTTTCACAAGAGAAAGGTTCACGTGATATTTCCATTACTCATTTCATTTCTCATCATTTAAATTTACAACAATATGTACAGAGCAAAAGTGTGTGCAACAAACCAATATTGGTCTCTTAAAGGAATCAGTTCGCCTTTCCACCCACTTTGGGGTATAGGCGGTCAACCAGAGCTTGCCTCTATCTTGGGCTTTCCTCTCAACCTCAGGTGTGACCCATCTTTTTGCAGTCCACCTCAAGGTCTCGGTGCCAGGTCTTTCTTGGCCTTCCTTGGCATAGCTTCAGAAACTTCTTAAATTCACCCAAAAATGAAAATTTGCTGAAAATTTACTCCTCTAAGCCATCCAAGATGTAAACAGATTTGGAGAAATTTAGCATTACATTATTTGCTCACCAATGGATTATTTGCAGTGAATGGGTGCCGTCAGAATGAAGTTCAAACTGCTGATTAAAAACATCACAATAATCCACAAGTAATCCACACTACTCTAGTCCTTCACTTAATATCATGAGAAGTGAAAAGCTGTGTGTTTGTAATTAACAAATTCATCATTAAGATGTTTTTAACTCCAAACCGTTGCTTCTGGCCAAAATACGAGCCCTCTATCCATAAAATTGCATTTTCCATTGAACAAGTAATCTCATCTGAATCAACTCTGTTTACAAGTGAAAACAGTCAAAGCTTAAACAAAAGTTTAAACAAATATGTCGGTGGATTTTGATGTGAGAGGACAACAGGGGATGGACATTTTCACCAGATGAAGCATTATTATGGATTATGGACTTGTATTTTTGCCAGAAGCAATGATTTAAAGTTAAATCATTAACTTGTATGGATTATTATTGTGGATTATCGTGATGTTTTTAATCAGCTGTTTGGACTCTCATTCTGATGGCACAAAATCTGTTCTGATGAAGAAATAAACTCATCTTGGATGGCCTGAGGATGAGTACGGTTTAAGCAAATTATCATTATTATTATTATTATTTGGGTGAACTATTACTTTAACAATGTATTCCTCTCAAATATCTTCTTGAGCCAGGTAAATTTGTAAATCAGTAGGTACCATCATGGAGTTGTACCTGCCTTTAAAAAGTTCATTAAACCCAAACGGTAGCCTAATTGTTGTGTTTTTATAAGGTTACAATTCTGGATTGGTGCCTTGAACAAGGACGGAGCGAAATTAGAACCTGTTCCCTAACACTCAAGCATCTCTGGTGTACATTTCAAGACCAGAAAACAAGAAAACTGTCAAGCTGTTCAGCTGACTAGATGCATTCCGTTTATTATAAATATACACTACCACTGAAAAGTTTTGGGTCATTTTTGAAATGTTTTTGAAATAAGTCTCTTATGCTCAACATGGCTGCATTTATTTAATCAAAGGCAAAGCAAAAACAGTAACATTGTGAAAAATGTTACAGTTCAAAATAACTGTAATGTTAAATGTTATTCTTAATATAATTTAAAGTAGATTTAATTCCTGTGAGTCTTTAGTGTCACATGATCCTTCAGAAATCATTCATATATGCTGATTTGCTGCTCAAGAAACCTTATCAGTGTAGAAAAGAAACTTGCTTAGTGTTTCCATGGAAGCCATGATACACTACCAGTCAAAAGTTTGGGATAAGATTTCAAACAAAATCAATACTTTTATTCAGCAAGGACACACTAAATTGGTCAAAAGTAATAGTAAAGACGTGTATAAAGCTGCAAAACATTTCTATTTCAATTAAATGCTGTCTGCTTTCTATTCATCAAAGAATCACGAAAAAAAAAAACATATCATGGTTTCCACAAAAATATTAAGCAGCAAAGACTATTTTAACATTGATAATAATATGAACAGTTATTAATAATTAAGCACCAATTATAATTGACAATAACCGAGCAATAAATAATCATATTACAATGATTTCTGAAGGATCATATGACTCTGATGACTGGAGTAATAGCTGCTGAAAATCCATCTTTGCCAGCAGGAATAAATTACATTTTAAAATATATTAAAACATAAAATTGTAATAGTAGTTCACAATATTACTGTTTTTGCTGTGCTTTTGGTCAAATAGCTAAATGCAGCCTTGGTGAGTATGAGACTTTTTTTTGTTTTTAAACATCAACAAAAAATTATTCCAAACTCTTAATGGGTAGTGCATATATTAAAATGTATTTACTAATAACGACTAGTACTGATAACGCTAATAGAAAATATAATATAATATGAATGCAATTTTATATTTATATTTATTTTAGTATAATAATATAACAGTAACTCTATTGTATTGTATAAGTACATGTAATAACATTTATCTTGCATTAAATTCAATAATTGTAAATAGAAGATTTTTAAAAAGATGAACATATGAAAAAACATATGAACATGGGCTTTTAAAGTGATGAAATCTTGAGATATCTCCAGGATTCATTCAGTCTTCAGGCTCTTTGTAAATATCAATAATCAATAAACAGGATATAAGCTACTAAATCCCGCCTAGGGACCCCCACCCTCAGTGACTTACGGTCCGTGCACTCAGTGACCCGAACACATATGCTCAGCGAGAGCTGTGCCCAGATTGACCAAATCTGAGGTTTCTGTAAGGCTCAGACTCAAGTCTGGAGCCATGTGATTTGCAGGAAGGGGAAGGAGACCCCCTCCCACAATCACTCTCTCTCTCCCCCCCAAACCTGCCCCTGAGTGGCCCCTGCCAGGCTCTGTTTCCAGGAAAGGGGCCTAGTGGACAGGCGCAGGGGCCTGCATCAGGGAGAGCCTGGCTCATTGAGAAAAACAAAAACAGAGAGGGGAGGTGGGAAGACTCTCCCTCCTTACATAACAGTCTCTAGCAGTGAAAAAAAAAGCCTCTCTCTCTACTACCACCGTACTTGAAACCCGTCTGTCTGCTCTTTACACAATGCCACACCCTATAGTTGGGCTCTGCTGGAACTTCAGCATTTGGGACAGTTTTATTTATTGGACAGAAAAGATACTCTTCCTTTAATTACTTCTTTTAATTGCCAGCTGGATGCTCATTAGATGCATTGAGCATGGAAGTGACACGCACGCCTCAAGCTTCCAAAACTCTTTGCTGCTGTGCATGAATTTTAAGATGACAACATATAATAGCTGGAGATAAACTGGGTTGTGCAATGCATATGTGTAAAGAACATGTAATAATATTTATTGGGGTATTAGGGTTCAGAGGCACATACGATGCTCATACTAACAGTCTATGAATTTTGTCATTTTACTCCCTCCTTGTGGTTACACTAAAAACTGAAAAATGAAAAAGCGAAAAATAGTACAGTAGACAATTTATTATGTAAAGATTAACAAATTAGTTCTATGAGCAGTTTCGTGTTTTCAATATTTGTATTTAGTCTTTTAAAAGGCATTTTAATTCAAAACACCTTTCAAATAAGAAACATAGCAAGCAATTTATGATAACAGCCAATGATATTCACAGTACACAATGCTAAGTGTAGGTTAGTGAAAAGTGAAATTTTATAAAGTATTATAACGTATTTTTAAGCATTTATAAGTATGTTTAATTTATTAGACCAACTATAAAATGTTTGACCACCTCAGGTTGAATAGGATATGATCTGCTTTGCATGTTCCCGAACAGGAACTGAAGCAGACAAAAATGTCAACATGTCTACAAGAACACCGATACAACAAACCAAGAAAATAGTCATTGTCAAATTAACGACTCAGCATATAATGAGTGATGCAGATGATTCTGATATTCATCTTCATAAACATTTTAATATTTTGATATGGTGCTCGGTTATTATTGGTAGTCAGTTATTATTAATTGCTATGATTATCGTCAATTTTGAAAACCGTTTAAAGTATTTTTTGTCAGGATCCTTTGATGAATAGGAAGTTCAAAAGAACAGCCTTTATTTTGAAATAGAAATCTTTTGCACCATTATAGATGTCTTTACTGTCACTTTTGATAAATGTAATGCACCCATGCTAGATATATTAATTTTATAATAAATAAAAAAAATTCTGCCTGATTGTTGGATCATATGTTTCAAATGTTAGGAAAGATAAAATGTTACCAGTCTTCACAGCATCATTTTCAAAGTAATTTGAAAGGTAATGTAGATTTCGTGCATTCATTATGAATTAGCATACATGTAAAATAACAGCATATTATAATAATGTATATTATTTCAATATAATGTTACAACGCATTTAAAAATTTCACGATATTCAGCACTGTTATTTTTTTTACTTTAAGCAATTACTTTAATTTCCACCGGATGAATGTAATATATAATCAGTCAATGAACAAAGATAATTGTGAACACATTAGCAGCTCATAGTAAACACACAATGGAATAACAAAACAAATGAATCCAAAAGGCCAGAGTTATGAATAATTCGTACAGCAAAGCATAAATTGTATAGCTTAAACTATTACCAGTGCATGCTCAAAAATGATTACCACCAAAACTAGAGCTCAATTATATACACACAGTGTCAATAGGAAACATTAGCCTAATTTTCTTTAGGCAAATGAGTATTTTAATAAAACTTTATTCTTAAATCCAGAAAATACACATCGTTCCTTCCATTTTTCATAGCGATTTAAAAAGGGTAAATTATAGTTCCTAATAATATAATTCCTCTCAAAGCATTTCTCTTATGTTTAAATTAAATCATTTTGAATGACTTTTTACAATACAGACGTCAATGGAGACACATCAATGTCAGGAATAATATGCTCTATTATATTAACTAACATTTGACTGAAGGAGACTGCTGAGGTAACAGGGTGAACTGAATTCTTAAAAGTAATAAAATAAGAATATGTAGGCTATACACAATTATGACTTAACAGGGTTCATAAAAATGCTTCAATGTGCAAATAGGTCACATCTGGATGGATTAATTATCCTATGAACTCTCAAATAAAATGTTATCTAAACTAGACTTTTTCACTGCATTTTTGCATTTAATGATGAGATCTTAAATAGAAGTGCTATATATAGGCCTGTATGTTAGTTTTCACAAAACTACCACCCTAAATCCTTTTGCTGGCTTGTTATCTTTGGAAATAACACATCTCAGGAAGCTCAAACCCTGTCAAAAGCAACCCACCCAAAATGTGAATGCCTTTATATATTATGGCACTCCAAACAGCAGCATTATTTACATTACTCTATTTTTTTTATTATAATAAATTTTTTTTTAAAAATTCCACCTTCATGTGGAAAAGTCTTTCCCCTCACCAATCCCTCATTTACAGACATTTCTTTTAATTATCAACACTCAAAAACGTGACGAAAGTGACAGTGTCTAAAATGATTTATATGGAACTTTATGGTGCTCAAATGGAAATCATGTCTATGACATTATGAAGGCAAAGTCCTAATAATGTGTCATATCTGCGCATTGCAACATTAGAGAAGGTTTTGTGGCTTGAAGTTTTGTACATTTACAAACATGTCCGAATGCATTTGTTGATCCCAGTCTGGGAAGCAAGCAAAGATCATCCTTGTGACACTTTAGGGATATATACATGCTGTTCTTATTCATAAAGACTTGAGGAGACCGTCTTAGAACTCCTCATGTACGTTACGGGCATAGTCCATGAGTTTGCTGCCAGTGAAGTACTCGCTGTATTTAAGGATCTCCTCTAGTTCCAGGTTGTGGTTTTGGTTCTCATCCGCCACAGCAATCATCTGCTTGGCTTCATTCAGGGCGTTGTACTCATTCATAGGGTCCATGTATTCCTGTTTGACAGAAGGAATATCAGCAAGGCACAGATATTCATTCAAATGAGATGCTATAAATGTATTCTTATCCTTTAACAGCACTTATGAAAGAGGACCAACCTCCAGCTCTTCCATGGTTACAATCATATCATGGTTAGCGTCAATGACTTCTTCAAACTCCTTCTTCCTTTCACGAACCCAGTCGTCATCGATGTCTTGGGCCTGCTGATTCTCCACAGTTCCCATGGGGAGGGAGATAAATTCAGCAAGAGTCAACTTTCCATCTCCATCTTGATCTGTTTAGAAAACATATAGGGTTTGTTTACCAATAAGAATCACAAGAAATGTGTTGCCATTTCTTGGGTATGAATTTCAGATTTATATGCTTACCAAGATCTCGGACGATCTCCTTGACCATGTATCTCAGCATGCCTCTGCTGTGCTCTGGATGCAGGAACGAGAGGAACTCCTCTTCATTCAGCAGCTGGTCAGCTGGAGGGTTATCTGCCTGGAACCAGCGATCCTTCAAGCTCTCCAGAACCTCCTGAGCTGTAGTGAGGCCATATTTTATTCATATCATTTTAAATGGCTTTGTTATGAGTACTAGACCATATCAGGCAAACACATCTTCTACATTGCAACTTACTTTCTTCATCCACTTTCAATTCTTCATTGTTTTTTATCTTCTCAGCTACTTCTTTTTCATTAAAACCTTTGCTGGCCAAAAACTTCACACGGTATTCATCCCAAGTTACATGTTCTGCGAGAGAACAATTTGAGCAGATTAAATTGAAATTGGCAGTCAAGACCATTGTTAAGTGTTATGAAATCATCATGCCAGATGTCAAAAACAGGATACATATTATTTTGCTCTAGTAAAACACAGGAAACCTTTTTAACTACAAATCATGTTTAAACTTACCTGAAATCTATTTCAACATATCTCTACTTGACAAATAATTTCATTATGCCATTGGTCTAAATAACAACATCCACTTACCATCCCCATCAGGGTCCACGGCACGAAAACTGAGCTTGTTTTCTTTAACGGCCTCTTGAAAATGTTCTTCCGTCTTCTCCATGATCCAGCGCTGCATTTCTTTAGCACTGACACTCCTGTCTTTATTAATATCCACCCTAGAAACAGAGAGTAAAGGTTTGATGATGCAGCTATAGGCACGATTAGGTGAAATTAGGTGATAAGATATTTATGGCATCAACACTTTAAAGTAATCAATCATTTGCTTAATGCATAGGATTGATTGTTTTTAAAGTCAGCATGAAATGGAAATTCACCCTTTTTTCTAAATGCATCTTATTGTGAACAATACATCATACATGTTTCATTATTTTTTATTTTATTCAAATTTTGTTTAGCTTGTAATTTAATCAAAATATCATAACCCAATCTTCTGACAAAGATACCAGACTTCTCTCTGGTGATGCATGAGGGACTTCAATCATTTTGTCTACTTAAACCATGTTCTTTTGACTGCAAGCTTGCATTAAGAGCTGCCTCTATCCAATCAACAGAACCCTGCCTTACATTTTTTCTATCCATTTCACTCAGATGTATGTCACATTACAGAAGAAAAGATCTGTCATCTGTCATCTACTTCCGTTTCATCACAACTTGCAATAATTGCTCACTGTTCATTGGGTTAAACTAGAAATGCCTTTAGAATGACACCCAAAGCACATCATGGGAAAATCGCACTGTTTCCACAGCTGTGTACATACTTGGTAAAGATTTCAATAAGTTTCTTCCTGTTCCGTCTGGGCTCAGAGTCCTCCTCAAACTCCTCCATCTCCTTCCCGAGAAACACCTCCTGATGAAAGTCTTTATTGAGGTGACCGTCCATTTCCATCTTCACACCGTTCAGATGGTCAGGTGGAAGGATCTCATTGTCCTCTTTGCTGTTGGGGTGTTTGTCTTTTAACGCTGACATATTTGCTGGCCTGGCCTGAACATTCAAAGCCAGCATTGCAAATACTGCCAAAGTTGAGGCGCACAAAAGTTGAGGCTGAGATCTTCTCCGGTTAGACATGGTTTTACTGCTTAAACAGATGTAGGAACATTACGTTAAAGCAAACATATGCGTATATATATTAACACACCAGTCTTAATTATTTGCTGGTTTTAAATGGATTTTGAGCACTTTAGCATGGTCAGACTGGGAAACCAGCTTAAATCAGCTTAAATCAGCTTTTTTTTTTATATTGAGAGCAATATCAAATATGAAAGACTTCTTTAGTACGCGGTGGACTGACAGAATCATACCCATTAATTTATTAGTTAGCGTTTAATATTAGCCTACTCAGTACTGAATCAGTATCAGCACATAATGTTTGACAACACCTGTCTCAATGCAGCTTGTGAACGGAAATAAATAACAAGCTAACGTTACCTACCTGTACGTTTGAACGGTCCTTTCCAAAAAGTAAGTATCAGATGAATGAACAGAAGCCAGTGGCCTGCTGTATTTAAAGCAGCTTGAGCGGACTGTTTATGTGCAGCTCATCGCGCAGTTCCTGTACACGTCGCCACTCGAGACCAAACGCTGCTGGCTGGAGCGGTTTATGGCCCTGAACGCGACGTCCTCCCTCTCTGGACTCAGATAACACACAAACACATACAGGACAGACCGATGACCGCAAGAGTTCACGAGGACTAACACCAGGAAGGCGTTGAGCAAAGAAACATTGCTACGTTGTCAGGATCGCGTGTCTTCTTCTTGTGTAACATTAGGTGAGGGATACCGCGCACATATCGCCATCTACTGTACCAGCAGACCAATGCCTATGAAATATGCCATGAGACAAATGTCTGTTTACCTTTCATATCAGTTTTTTTCTCTCACCATCTGTGCTGAAAGCCGTACTTGTTTAGATATCTCAGACTCACATTAGCTTCTTGTTATTCTCCATTGGGGGCCTGTTGAACAGTTACAGAAAATACATAAAGTTTTAATTATGAACATGATGTGCTTGAGAATCCATGATGCATCACATACTAACAGTCCTGGACCTGGTGCAACGATTAAAATATGGTGGCCGATAGACCCTGAGGTTACTCAGTCCCTAGTTGTGCTATTTTTCTGTGTGATGGAGAAGTACCTGCGCACTAGTGTGCTACCTTTGCCCAGAGCAGAAGAATGAATAGTTAAAATGAACTAAATAGATAAAATAGTTAGAATGTTCACCAAGGCTGCATTCATTTGATCAAAAACACAGTAAAACAAAACAATAATATTGTGAAATAATATGAAATATTTAAAATAGTCTCAGAGAAATCAAACAACTGGTATAGAACTGTTTTAAAGCAATGTGATGTAAAAGACATGTTTGACCAGCTGACTGATCTGGTTCTTTTAGAGAAGATCTGAGCATTTAAATTAATTTATATGGGGTCATCTAATAACATGAAATACCTCCATCTGCATGTATACATTCTGAGAGTGTTAGAAATATATAGTACAAACAATATTTTTTTTGTATCGTACTTACCCCAAACTTTTAGTAGTGTATCAAGGTTTCCATTTTAATCAGCAAAAATAGTTTTCAGCATTGATAATAATAAGAAAAGCTTCGTGAGAAGCTTTCTGAAGGATCATGTGACACTGAAAACTGCTGTGAATGTTAGTAATGGCTGCTGAAAATTCAGCTTTCCCATCCCTGGAATAAATTACAATTTATAATATGTTAAAATTGAAGACAGTAATTTTAAATTGTATTAATTGTTAATAATATTGTTGTTTTACTGTATTATAACACATTAAAACAACAATGCAATTTGTATATTGATTTAATATACATTACATTTGCATATTAAGTTAATATACATAAAAAACTAGACTGACCAAATTTAGTCCAGAAATGAATTTGTTACTGCATCTTTATTTCCAGCCACCAGAGGGGAGAAGAGCACCAAGGCATGTAGGATATCTCCCAGTATTGTTGCTCTACTGAGAGACAGTGCTGTACACTTAACAAAGTTACACAAATCTGCATAATGTAATTTGTCACTTAGATTAATACGATCATTCATTTTACATTAATGTGTAACAGTAAGAACAATAATTGATCAATAACATGAACAGATTGTGGTTGTTTTGTAGAAATACTACCAGGATCACTAAAATTACACGCACCCTAAATGCCATGTTTTGCAAGTTGTTGCATATAATGGGAAAATATTGTTTGTACTGTGGATTATGTTTCTGACAGTCATCTTAGTATTTGTACATGCAGATGGATGTAGTTCTAGTTATTAGGTGACTCCACATCAATTCATATAAACATTCAGCTCTTCTCTAAAAGACCCAGATATCTAGTCAGCTGGTCAAACATCACTTTACTGCCTTGAAGCAGTTCTTTCTGAGTTGTTAGAATTAGAATGTGACTAAATGTCACATGTAGAGAGCTACTGCAAAGTAGGACAGTACACCACACACACACACACACACACACACACACACACACACAGAGATTTACACCTACACACATGAACACGCATTCCCTAGAGTCTGCCTGCCAAAGAGCTCTCCCTCAAGACTTGAGTATTTCATTAGTGAGATAAAACAGGGCTGAGCCCACTGAGGTTGCCAGTTTCACTGATGAGGAAAAGAGAAGCAGGGGAATCAGAAAGAAAGAGAGAGAGACAGAGAGGGGGCTGTGATAAACTCTGCTGCGAGCCCTCCTGTAAGCAGAGTGAGAGAGTGCAGGAGCAACAGCATAAGATCTGGAGAGGGTGAAAACACAACTGTGAGCAAGACCTACCACAAAGTCCACACAGATCTCGCACTTTGAGGTGAGCGTACATGTGTTTTTGTCACCCTGCAGAACTGGGCTGATGCATTTAGGTGCGATCGTCCCGTCAAGTGCTTCTCTGCTTTGAAGTTGGCCGTGGGGGACTGTTTTTTTCCCTGCAAGGAAAAAAAGGCAAGAGAAGGCCAAAAGCTACAAAAACTGGAGTGTTTCCAACTTCCAATTCCCTCAGGACATTTTTTTTTCCCACCTCGGCTTCAAGAAGGAAGCACATATGAAGACTGATGGGGCAAGACCTCAGCATTGCTTACCAGAAAATCGGCTCAGATGTTTGCTGTCAGCTCAGCGACGACCTGTCATTTCCCAGGACCACTCTACACTTGACACATTTCATAGTCGAGTAAGCTTTGCTTTGTTTTTGCCTAAAGAGCCCTTGCTTCACACTGCTGGCAGTTGAGAAGATCAAGACCAGGCTGAGGTATCAGGTAGAGTGGACAAGTCCCTTAATCACTTTGCCTGCCTATTACAGTATTCTTCTTCCAGTTAGGTCAAGCGTTGGGGACGTCTCGCTGTTCCTTTGTATTTCTCGAAGTCGAGAACTTCCCACAGTGAGAAAGAGTCTGCTTTCTGACCCAACTACGGTGTCCTGGCTGGTGGGCTGAAGATGCGTTGCTGGCTGCTAGCTGTGGTGACGGCAGTGCTCTGGACCCAGTGCATCCGTCTAGGGTGGGCTGAAGGCAGGAAGACACGTAAGAGACCGAAGGAGCTTGCTCCGCAGCACACCGAAGCATTCAACACCACTATTTCCAACAGTGAGGAGCTGGATGGCAGCACAAAGGTATATGCCATAATAGTTTCTCATTGCTTTTCTTATATGTTTAAGCTATGCTCATTTCCCAGCTCTGCACATGAAACTGCTTATGATTCCACATCAGAAGTGTTCTATTATTGTTTTATATAAGATAATTTTTAGAAAAAATATTTGAAATTGTCCCATTTGAGCTACAACAGCTTGTTACTGAGGCTGCATCCTCAAAAGTGCATATTTGTACCTTACCCCTAAAAAGTGTTTATTATTACCTTAAGTACATGTTAGTATCTTAACGTACTAATATGCAGTCAACAGTGTAATTTTGAAGGTACGGCCCATGGGACAAGCTAAAGGTACAATTTTTGCACATTTTCAGGGTATGTCATATGGCTGCTATTTATTCTGTTTTTGATGATGGTTGATTTTTGCAATTGGCTTGTTCTATCATGTGTCTTCATTTTACTAACAAACTTCTGATATTGCAGTAATCACTCAATCTCAAGGTTGTGAAAACTCACAGACCGCTGACGCCACTGTTACTATGTTTTACATGTCTTGGGGCTCTGTTTTATTGAGAACCTCACCCTAACTGGGTACTAAAATTGCATGAAAAATGATAGAAGACACGATACAACACATTGGTTATATACATTACCGTTCAAAAATTTGCGGTCAGTAAGATTTTTATTTTTTTTGCTTTAAATTAATCCAATGTTACAGTAAAGACATTTTTAATGTTACAGAAGATTTCTATTTCAAATAAATGCTGTTCTTTTGATTTTTTTTTTTAAAATTAATTCACGAATCCTGAAAAAAACTAAATTCATTGTTTCCACAAAAAAATCAAGTGGAACAACCATTTTAAACATAATAAGAAGAAATGTTTCTTGAGGGCCAAATCAGCATATTAGAAAGATTTCTGAAGGATGTGACACTGAAGACTAGAGTAATGCCTGCTGAAAGGATTAACAGGCAATGCACAGAATAATAAATTATATACCTGAAATGCACTTTAAGTTATTTAGATAAAAAACATCTGCCAAATGTGTAAATGTAATGCATTTAGTGACCAATCATTCCTCACAGTGTGTCAAATTCACCCTGTTACAGCCAGGCAGAGAAAATACCCCAGAGTGATGTGTTTTAATTGCTCTGTTAAATATGTCAGCACACTCATCAGAAAGCAAAGCCGACTGCATTTGGCACTTACAGTTGTCTCTCATACTTTGTAAATGCGCCTGAGCAGAAGTCGTCAGCTGCTTTGCGAACTTTGACTATTTAAACAAGCTTACAGAGCGAGCTCATCCAAAGCCCATGATGGAAATGCTACAAGCATTTTTGATTAGCTTGGCACAGACTCAAACACGTATGTTTCTTGAGAAATAGACTGGTCTAATTCTTCAGAACAGCTCAAAAGAATGAGATTCAGAATGATAAATAGAACGGTTTGAAGGCTATAATGTGTGAAATTGATGATTGAGGCATGAGATATGGGAAGAATGCACATTCAGAAGGTCTGATCAGAGCATTGATTAGTCATCTCAGTAGTGGTTTTCTACCAGAGCGTGAAGGAGGGCTCTCTCTCTCTCTCTCTCTCTCTCTCTCTCTCTCTCTCTCTCTCTCTCTCTCTCTCTCTCTCTCTCTCTCTCTCTCTCTCTCTCTCTCTCTCTCTCTCTCTCTCTCTCTCTCTCTCTCTCTCTCTCTCTCTTTCCCAGCCCATTGATTCTGTCATTCACAGGCCAGGCTGACTCCGCTGTGTCTGGGACATCCGATAGGGGCGGTGCGGCCCCCTGAAAAAACTGGGGCATCAGGCCGCATAAGCCCCTCACAAAGCCTCACAGAAAGGGTCCTGAAAGAGGACACCTCGAGAAGGATTAGTCACTCTCCCTCCCCTTGGTTACATTCTTTTCATCTTGTCCCGTACAATCAGAGAGTAATGACATAATCACTCTAAAACCCAATGTTTTGCCAGATTTGTCACTGCCAGAAAGCGTCACTCGGGCTGGGGACCTTGGGTGATATTCATAGGGATGGAGAACATCTTTACAGGTATAAGTGGGTTTTGTTGGATCCATATGCTACTTGATGTCCAGCCACCAATATATGTCATAGGCCTATTCGATTCTTAAAATCCCAATATCAGTTCTTTACTTTGTGCTTATTGTCCTGTAGATGTCACTGCGTTCTGCGTTTTTCATTTACATTTAGCAGGGTGTGATGAGGGCTTCATTCAAAATCAACACAGCCAGTGTAGTCTGATTCATGAACAAATGACTCTTATGATACGCTTCCTTTTAGTAAATCAAAAAACAAGCAATGCAATCAGTGTAATTAGATTCACAGACAAATGGATCTTATGAGCAGGTTCATTTATTGAAGCAAAAAATACAGCACAACCAGTGTAATGACAATAATGAGCCAGTTCTGTTTAGCGAATCAAACATAGCGCAACCAGTGTAATTCGCCTCACGAATGAACAACTCTTATGAGTTGGTTCATTTTAGTGACTTAAAACATACAGTGCAGTGCAACCAGTGTAGTTCGATTCATGAAACAAAGGACTCTTATGAGCCGGTTGTTTTTAGTGAATCAGAACATACTGCGTGACCAGTGTAGTTTAATTCACATAACAAAGAACTCTCTTGAGACGATTCTTTTAATGATTATTCGAAAAGATGAGTTACCTGTTTAAATCAAATGTTGCCCTGTCTATTATAGCCCTATATATTAATTAACAGAGATGTATTTTTTTATATGGCAGAAATATAGACTAATGAATCAGAATCAAGTTATATAGAATCAACAGTAGATTCTTATCGCGAGCTTGTGAATCTGAATCAAATCCAATCGAGAATCGATACACAGCCCTACACAAGAGTGACCAGTGAATAGTGATTGGTCTCTGTTTTGACTTGAGTAGTTGAAGAAGCCATGAAAACATTGTGTTCTCAAAAACAGAGATTTTATAAATGTGAATTTTTTTTTATATTAAAAATGACTTATTTGCAAATGTGATTAATTGCAAAGAATAGAAATATTTTAATCCAGCCCTACTATTTACTTGAACAGCGGCCATTGGGACATTAACATTAGGACACAGAGTACAGGGAACAGAGGAACAATATGTACAGACATTAAATGGGGTACAAATAACTCAAATCAAAAAACCAAAATACACAACTTTTCCTATAGCACTTCATATGAACGTCTCACACAATTTTTTCGTTAGCTAAAATTTTAATATTATGCATTACATAGCTATGTACGTGAGATATAATCTTAAAATTACCCTATTTTATCTCTTTTGTGTTCAAAATTACTCCTGAACGTTCACAATCACAAAACCCACAGGAATTATTTGCCATCCTGGTGAGTGCAGCATTACGGTACGTCGCTGTAAGTGTTTATCTGAAGTATTTCTCAGCTGTCCATTTGACCTACCACAGATAATAAGGGAAATGAGCACCAGCACAAACTAGCTCAACATTATAATTTGCACACAAAGCAGGTGTGATGCTGCAATCAGACTCTCTTCAACTCTTTGACTTTTTTATGGCGAGAGGAGGGCAGGATAATTCCTCAGTAGATCTCATAATAAGACTTGTGGCTCTCTCTCCCCTCACATGTCTTCACTAGCCAGGAATGCACACTTGATATACATATAAATATCTAAACAATGTTTACCCTGGTACAATGGCATGGGACAGCGAGAGTTAATAAAACAACACAAAGCCTCATTACCTCGCCTACATGTTAGTTTTGTAAAGTTACAAGTGTATTCTGACACATACATGTTGTTGTGCTTGGTACGAGTGAAGACAGAGAGTAAATTGGATATACATGCGAAAGAAAAACTCTTATCTGTTGACCATTTGGAGTGTGTTAGTTATCAGACCTTGTCCACAGGGAAGGAATTACTGAATAATGAGGCCTCGGTAATGAAATATACAGTGGTGCCGGGTCTGTTACATGTTAAATGATGGCCTTTGAAGCTTTCTGCTGCTTGATATCCAGCCAAATAATCACTTCTCTTTTCGTATCTCTATGTTCTGAGTTCCAAAGCAGTAATGACTTGGTACCAAAAGAAACCATAATTGCAGGTAAGAATCTGAGGTGTGGTGTGAATGCGTCCATATAATCAAACCCATAAATCTGTGTACCGACCCATAAAGCTGTGTTTGGGAACATACCATCATCGCAATTTGTTCTCTCGCACACATACCGTGTCCATGAGACTAAGGAAAGTGAATATTAATGTACAGCCATATTTGGTGCCCTTCATGGCTGGCTTTCATATGTCAGGGTATATATGAGAAATGGTGGGTGAATTGGGAAGTAATGGGCGTGTGACATGGAGGATGCACGCAAATCCGCCTATCTGTCGATATGGTAAAGGGGGATCCTTCCCCAAAGGCATGGGATGGGTAAAATCATCAAGCCATGCATGGATAAATGCACAGTCATGATACACCCTTCGAGAAACAACAATAACTTTGGGAAAGCCCTCAGTCGCTGTTTCTCACTGTAAAGCACCTGTATAGTGTTTTTTTGCCAACTATTTCTGATGTGTTTGTATTGCACGCTTTATTTATTTTTCAATGTAAACTGGTGTTATTTTTATGGGAACGGCTATTGCATCTTTGTAGTGTTGACAATAGTCCTGAGGAACATGTTTTATACATGTTATTGTAAGTATTTTTAATTTTCAAATAGTATTTCAAACAGACATTTGAATTTGGGGCTGAATGCTTTTAAAAAATGTTACATTTAGACAGGAATAGACCTAATAGTTTGGTATTTTTAGTCAGTGTGTTACTGTAATGTCTGGTAAATTTTGGACCTGAGGTACAAAGATCAACAAACAGAAGCAATTTCTTCATAAAATGTCACTAAACCTAATGGTTGTGTTAGAACAGACCCAGTTTGTGAAGTCTTAGATAGGAATAGACCTAATGGTTTGGTATTTTTAGTCAGTGTGTTACTGTAATGTCTGGTAAATTTTGGAGCTGAGGTACAAAGATCAACAA